AATAACAACCAGGCTTTGAGGAGAGTCATGCAGACATTTGTCCTTGCTCCTGAGGGCTCTGTTGCAAATAAGTTCTACGTTCACAATGATATCTTCAGATACCAAGATGAGGTCTTTGGTGGCTTTGTCACTGAGCCTCAGGAGGAATCTGAGGAAGAGGTAGAGGAACCTGAAGAAAGACAGCAGACACCTGAGGTGGTACCTGATGACTCTGGAACTTTCTATGATCAGACTGTCAGCAATGACTTAGAAGAACATTTAGAGGAAACTGTTGCTGAACCGGAGCCAGATCCTGAACCAGAACCAGAGCAAGAACCTGTATCTGAAATCCAAGAGGAAAAGTCTGAGCCAGCATTGGAAGAAACTGCCCCTGAGGATGCTCAGAAGAGTTCTTCCCCAGCACCTACGGACATAGCTCAGACTTGAGGACATTTTCTTGGGCATCTGTGACCAGTAAGAACCTTCCTCCCAGTGGAGCTGTTCCAGTTACTGGGATACCACCTCATGTTGTTAAAGTACCAGCTTCACAGCCTCGTCCAGAGTCTAAGCCTGAGTCTCAGATTCCACCGCAGAGGACTCAGAGGGATCAAAGAGTGCGAGAACAACAAATAAATATTCCTCCCCAGAGCGGACCTAGACCAATCCGTAAGGCTGGTGAGCAAAGTGATGTTGAACCCCAAAGAATTGTGAGACACCCTAATAGTCACCAACTTTTCATTGGCAATCTGCCACATGAAGTGGACAAATCGGAGCTTAAAGATTTTTTTCAAAGTTATGGGAATGTGATGGAGCTACGCATTAACAGTGGCGGGAAATTACCCAGTTTTGGTTTTGTTGTGTTTGATGATTCTGAGCCTGTTCAGAAGGTCCTTAGCAACCGGCCCATCATGTTCAGAGGTGAGGTCCGTCTGAATGTGGAAGAGAAGAGTACTCGAGCTGCCCGGGAAGGGGACCGTCAAGATAACCGCCTGCGGGGACCTGGAGGCCCTCGAGGTGGGCTGGGTGGTGGAATGAGAGGCCCTCCCCGTGGAGGCATGGTGCAGAAACCAGGATTTGGAGCGGGAAGGGGAATTGCTCCAAGGCAGTGAATTGCTCTTCAATTGATCTTCACGCAGCAGTACAAATCTCCTAGCTCCTGCAGAATGGTGAATTTCTTACACCAGCGTTTGGTATCCTGGAGTTTGACCCTAGTCTATTATAAACTGCTTAAGTTTGTACAATTTTACTTTTTGTGTTAATTATGTGTGCTCCCTTTCCCACCCTTCCCTCTCCTCACCTTTTAGTCCTTCACTTCCAATTTTGTGGAATGATATTTTAGGAAAAACAGATTTTTAAAGAAGAGAAAAAGACTGAATTTCCTTGCTTTACTTTTGCATATACAGACTGGATTTTTTTTAACAGCCGTTTCCCCAAAGGAATGTGTCTTGCTTATTACTGACATTTGGTATGTTTCATTCATTGGAATATTTCTTATTTTCTATGTGTTTCAAAAGCCTGTGAGAAACACAGGATTTGATAAACATTTTGAAGGCAGGAAAAATCCAAATTGTTTCTTCTTTGAGAGTCATGACTACCTTCTGGTATGTAGAAATTGCCATTGGAAAAATTGACAGTTTTGATTCTTGCTGGTATGGGTAAAAAAATAAAAGGTGTTAATAGAGTTTTTTTTTTCTTTTGATATATGATCACAAAACAATTATAAACCTGTTTTTACCATTTAAATTGTGAGAAAGGTTTTAAATGTCTAGAATGCAACTGATATAGATTTCTTTTGAAGTAGTTTTTTCATGTTTAATTTGTATTTGCAAAACAAAACAAAACAAAACAAAACCAAAAACAAAGAAACCCCAAAATCCAAATAACACAAAACCAGAGCAAAACTGTTGTGCCTTCTATTTATCTTTGATTCCAGCCTTGGCAGTTGTTTAAAGAAAAAAAAAAAAGTCTAGATTTGTTTTATCAGGTGTAGAGTATGTTGGGAATTGAAGAATCCCTCTTTCACCTGGTATGTCTTCTGTTCATTTGTTATGCCTTATTCTTAAAATTGAGTCTCAAACTGGAATGCCTTTAAGGACAGATATGCTTCTATGAGAGGTCCTTTGACCTAAGTAGTCCAGCATTTGTATTGTTTTATTTCGGTAAATATTCAGAATCCTAATCATAGCCCATAAAAAGGAATATGACTTTAATATTGGACTTTGTGCTTGAGTGTCTGCCCGTTTTTTTTTTCTTTAAATCATAGCCATATGGTAAATTTTCTATTTTGTTATGGTTCTCTTTTATTGATGGACATGCAGTGGGTGTTTCTTGGAAATGGCCAATTTTTATTAAAATATCTCTGGAAGAAAATTAAAAAAAAAAGTTGGTTGGTTCATGAGGTTTAAGGAAAGAAGCCACCTCCTTTACAGAAGAGTGAAAAGTGAAGCAGCAAGGGCTGATATAGAAGCTGCAGCAAGTTATCCAGAAGATCCAGCTCAGATAATTAATGAAGGTAGCTGCACTAAACAACAATTTTTCAATGCAGATGAAACAGCCTCCTATTGGAAGAAGATGCCATATAGGACTTTCAGAGTTAGAGAGGAGAAGTCAATGCCTGCTTTCAAAGCTTCAAAGGACAGGCTGACTCTGTTGTTAGGGGCTAATGCAGCTGGTGACTTTAAGTTGAAGCCAGTGCTCACTGACCATTCTGCAAATCCTAAGGTTTTTAAGAATTATGCTAAATCTACTCTGCCTGTGCTCTATAAATGGAACAACAAAGCTTGGATGACAACACACCTGCTTACGACATGGTTTACTAAATATTGTAAGCCCACTGTTGAGAACTACTGTCCAGAAAGAAAGATTTCTTTCAAAACTGGCTGCTGGTTAAGAGTGTGCCTGGTCACCCTAGAGCTCCAATGGAGATAAACAATGAGGTTGATGTTATTTTCATGCCTGCCAATACAACATTCATTCTGCAGTCCATAGATCAAGAAGTAATTTCAATTTTCAAGTCTTATTACTTAAGAAATACATTTTGTAAGGCTCTAGCGCCATGATAGTGATTCCTCTGATGGATCTGGGCAAAGTAAATTGAAAACCTTCTGGAAAGGATTCACCATTCTAGATGCCATTAAGAACATTTTTGATTCATGGGAAAAGGTCAAAATATCAACATGAACAGGAATTTGGAAGAAGTTGATTCCAAACCTGATGGATGACTTTGAGGGGTTCAAAACTTCAATATTGGAAGTAATTGGAGATATGGAAGAATAGCAAGAGAACCAGAATTTGAAGTGGAGCCTGAAGATGGAACTGGATTGCTATAATCTCATGATTAAACCTGAATGGATGAGGAGTTGCTTCTTATGGGTGAGCAAAGAAAAATGTTTTTGAGATATAATCTACTCCTGGCAAACTGTTGAAGTGACAACAAAGGATTTAGAATATTCTGTAAACTTCGTTGATAAAGCAGCAGCAGAATTTGAGAGGATTAACTTCAATCTTGAAAAAGTTCTACTGTGGGTAAAATGCTATCAAACAGCATTGCATGGCATAGAGAAACTGTTCATGAGAGTAAGATTCAATGCAGCAAACTTTATTGTTGCCTTATCTTAAGAAATTGCCGCAGCCACTCCAAGCCTTCAGCAACCACCACCCTGATCAGTCAGCAATCCACAACAATGAAGCAAAACCCTCCACTGGCAAAAAGATTAGAACTCACTGAAAGCTCAGCTGAAGGCTAGCATTTTTTAGCAATAAAATATTTTTAATTAAGGGGTGTAAATTGATTTTCTTAAACATATTGTTATTGCACACAATAGACTACAGTATGGTGTAAACATAACTTTTATATGTACCAGGTAACCAAAAAATCCCTTTGAGTTGCTCTGTTGCAGTATTCACTGTATTGTGGTGGTCTGGAACTGAACCTGAACCTACAATATCTTAGAGCTATGCCTGTACCTGAGAAGCTCCTTCCCAATATGAAAACAGATTTTTGACTCCAATAGGTAGTTTTGACTGGTTGGAATCAAACTGGTGATCCTTTGTCTTTCTGGGTTTGGCTGGTGCTTAGAGTTATCTCCTTCATGACATGATCCTGAGTTCCTTGGACCTCCCACGGCTGGAAATTTCCCACCTACATTCTATGACATGGGCAATTTTGTCACTATTCCAGCCAGTTGTGGCTCCTTCTATAGCCACTGAACATCAGGAGGCCACTGGCAGCTTCCCTCAGCTGATTCTCCTCTCCCCTCTAGTCTGTCTCTGGAACAGAATCTAAGACTTCCAACTGTGGGCTTTGCATCATACATGTCCACATCTCTTCCTTTCTTTTGACAAACTCTGGAGGCTCCATTATTTGCCAAAATGCAGTCCTATGCTCTGCTGCCATCGACCTGCCCAGCCAGCTCTCAAGCTTTAGAATTCTTGAAGGTGACACAGACAAAAGTTCACTTTGTCACCCAAACTGTGTGTTTGGGGGAAAGAAAGAGAATCATATATCACATTCTCCAGGTGGTTGGTCCTCCGGAAATTCATTTCTCTAAGAAGGTATCTTCCTATGCACCCCCCCAAAAAAGAAGGAAGTAAGGCACATAAGATAACTCATTCCAAAGCAACCTTCAAGATTCCTTCCCTAATTTCCAATTCCTGGCCTTTTCATGCCATCAATATGAATGAAAAGTATAAAGTCATCTAACTAGTTTACCCCAACTTATTTCTTGCAAATTTTGCATGGTAATATTTGACACTTCAGCTAACACTTTATTTTAATATCCTGATGTGTATATGTAAATATACGTATTAATAATGTATTATATATATGTATACAAACAAGTATACAGTTTAAATAAACATACAATTAGGTAAGACTCTATATGTCATACACATGTACACATATGCATATATATATACACACATGTAAGGTCCAGTCTATCATAGTAATTTTCACAGATGTGTGGTTTAGGAAGAGAACTGAGCTTATCTTATCAATTCCCTTTTTCAGATTCTTCAAAAAGGAAGAAAAAAGCAGGGAGTTTCTCCTAGAAATAAGTCCTCAATAAAAACAGACTAAAAGGAAAGAAGGGTCTTATGTGAAGGACTGAAATATGACATCCTCAAATCCTCACTAATTCCGAGAAAGAATATGACCAGATACTATAATCATGAGAGAAGGCCCAGCCACAAAGAGTTATATAACAATAGATTTGCCATGAACACATAAAAGGGCATTCTAAATTATGTTCCGATAGATAAGCTTAGTGCTTTGGACCAGCAATAAAATACTGATGTATTACAAAAAGAAAAAAAAAACTTTTAATTTATTTTTCTTTCTCAGTAAAGATTTTGTTTTCTGAAAAAGGTAAACCAAATACTGATAGAAGCAATTGAGGCCTACAATAGATTGTAAGCATGTAAATACTCTAGATAAGTGAGTATAAGACACTTGAAACAAACTTCAAAGATTACTGAGCAAATTTACAGAAGATATCAGGGAACTTCAGTTAACATTCCATCCGTAAGAATTTATCAAGAATGGAAGAAATCCTAGAAGTATAAAACAAATCAATGCAGTCCTGAAAAAAATCCACCAAACACAGGTAATTACTGATTTTAATACACGTTATTAAAATGATGGTTTTCAACCATCTTGAAAGGAAGTTGGTAACCAAAAGTTGGTAACCAAGTCAACAGGGCCTCACTGACTTTATTTAGGCCTAAGTAATTTGATTTCTCCCTAAAATATGCCTATGATTATGGCTGATAAAAAATGCAATCCAGAAATCTGGATCTGAACAAGACAAATATTTCCTAATACAGATCTTCCTCGACTTACCATGGGCTTACATCTTGATAAACTTATAGCGAGTTAAAAATATCATCAGTTAAAAATGCATTTAATACACGTAACCTAACGAACATCATAGCTCAGCCTAGCCTGCCTCGAACGCACTCTTTTCACTTATATTAGCCTATAGTTGGGCAAAATCGTCAAATACAAAGCCTATTTTATAATAAAGTATTGAATATTGCATGTGATTTATTGAATACTGCCCTGAAAGTAAAAAACAGAATGGTAATCTGGGTACAGAATGTTTGCAAATATATTGGTTGTTTACTCTGTGATCACATGGTTGACCAGGAGCTGTGGCTGACCAGCATCACAGGAGAGGATCTACCACATATTGCTAGCCCAGGAAAAGATCAAAATTCAAAGTACGGTTTCCACTGAATACAGATTGTTTTTACTCCATGCTAAAGTCAAAAAATTGTAAGTCAGACTATTGTAAGTCAGGGATCATCTGTATTCTTAAAAACAACATGAAGGAATGTTGAAGGATATTGATAACATAAAGGGGATTTATAACTGGTTGAGTGGCTAATGACCAAAGATACTAATTTGAATGGATGTGATTGGAAAAGAATTGCTATCATTTATTTCTTCACTGAGCATGTGCTGAATGCACTGTTGGTAGTTTCTACTGAAGGTAGGATTCCTCAATTGTCTAGTTAGTCTGAGACTCCAGAGCCAGTGTGGTTTACCTGGTGATGCAAGTAGATACAAGGTCAGCCTACCTAACATAGGCAAACTGCTAGGGGACAACAAATTGACCTTTCCCAAAGGAACAGGCAAGGAGATATTCTAATTTCTCCATTACCTATTACTTTGTTCCCTGCAAGAATTGTTAGCCCTGATGACATCTAGTCTTGCTTCTTATCCCTTTTAAGAGCAGGTTTTTCCCTCTGCTTTACAAAGGCATACAAAACAAATAAGAATGATTTCTAAACAAAGAGGGTTTTTTAAAATATAAACTTGAGATATTTTATGGTCTCCCTTGCTTCAGACAAGCAGTCTATCTATGGAAAGAGAGGAACCATACTTCATTTTCACAGACAATGTAACAGTCTGTTAATCCCATCTGTTTCCTGTAAGAAGGAAAAAATTGTTATATATGGGGCTCAAGAGCCTGAGGCCTCATGGTACATGTCTCAAGATCTTTACCCAAGAAGTAGAAATTCAGCAGTGTGGTTTATGTAAGTAGGTTTTATTTTCTTTTAGAGATGCCAGGGTGTCTTTTTCTCACATCTTTTATTTTATTTATTGATAACTTTTCAAAGATTGGTTGAAGATGTGTTCATTGATTCAGGTTGGATAAATGGACTTTTCAGTAACTTTTCAGTCTAAGATTTCCTTGGTGGATATTTTGTCAGTAGCTAAGTTCGATGAGTCTAGACTTAGACCTCAGATATTCACATATCTATGAAACAGGGTCATTACTTAGGTAGACAATTAAATTCAATACAGAGAGTAATTGCTATAATTCTTGGTAGCAGACAAGCAAGCAACTGAAATTGATTCAGACTAACTTAAGGAAAAGAATAAAGAATTTGATTTCCTAGAATGCTATTGAGTTTGTCACAGAACCTTAAGAAGAATATAGCATCCAGGCTGAGAAGACAAGATCCAAGTTGCATCTGGGGCTCTCATTTACAGGAAATATGGGCAGTTTCTCTAGAGTCCTGCCATCAGGATGGCCTTCTGTCCTTAGATGGCTCTTTCCAAGTTTAAATTCCTTAAAAGAAAATCTTATTGGCTGGGCTTGAGTCAAACTTCAAAACTTATCTATGATAGGGATTGGTGGCAATCAGAGTTGATAATCTGATTAGGACTTCAAGGAATGGAGGTTCCACAAAAGAAAACTATTGCTAGGTCTCTTTTCCAGAAGAAAGGACAAGGAGAAGCAAGCAGTAATAATATTTACTACAAAGAAAGTAGTTTACTGCATCTCTAGTTTGAATTTTGTATGTTAAATTAAGGTTTTAACTCTTGGATTGGGCAATGAGTTCACAGATGTTCATTTTTTATTGTGTAAATAAAGAAGAAATAAAAGATAAAAGGAGGCCATGTGTAGACCAATGATAATGTGTATGAATGAACAATTATGATTTGATACATAGTATAAACCTAAGATACAAAAATTTTTTTAAATAAAATTTTAAAAATTTAGCAAAATTTAAAAATATTATCCTTATTATCATACAGAAAAATCCAAATGGACCAGATATATTTTGAATATTTAAAACAACTTATTTACTTCCATTTCTGGATAACAATATGATAAATAATCAGGTTATAAAGCAGTTAGAAAATTCTCCTGATTCAGATCTCCCCTACTACTTCCTTAAGTCACAAGTTGCAAGTTTAACTTAGCTATACTAGGTTTTTAGCTCTTTCATATAAATATTAGAATCAATTTGTCAGATTTAACATATGTACACACACACACACAAAACTATTGGAACTTTCATTGGGATTGTACTGAATCTATAGATCATCTTCAAGAGACTCAACATTTATGCAATTACTTAATTTTCTAACTCAAAAACATCCTCTCATCTATTCTCATTCCATCTCATCCTATTTTGTTCTATCTCTCCATTTATTAAGTAATTTTTAATATACCTCTATTATATCTGTACTGTTCTCTGTAGAGGTCCTTGCAAAAGATCTGTTAGATTTATTCCTAGGACATTTTATAGTTTGTGTTGCCATCATAAATGGTGTCTTTTTCTTTAAATGTTTTTTTTCTAAATGTTTGTTACTTCTGTACAGACATGCAATTGGCTTTCATGTAGTTAACTATCTTTCTAAATTCTTCCATCATTTCTCATTACTTGCCTGTATGGTCTTGGTTGTTTTATGTATACAACCAAATCATTTTCAAAGAATGACAGTATTTTCTTGTTTCAAATCCTTATGCTTTAATTAATTTATTTTTTAATTACACTGACTAGACTATAAAACGATGTTAAAGACAATAAAGCAGTGACAGATATCTTTGTCTTGTCCTGGATTTCAAAAAGAATACTGCTTACAATTTTCCATTTAGAATAATGTTTGTGAACACCAACAGGTTAAGAAAATTGGTTTATATTACAAGCTTATTTTTTATCATGATTGAGCATTGAATTTAATTGCATGCTTTTCTACATCAGTTGAGATAATTGTATGATTTTTAGTATTTTAATCAATGTGGTGATTGAAAATGGTAGCATTTGAAAAATTAATTCGTACTTTGATTCTTAGAACAAACTCGATTTGGTCACAATTTATTATCTTTTTATAAACTTTTAGATTTGTATTATAAATGTTCTGCATAGGACACTTACATAGTTTAACAATTAAAAGATTTGTAATATTTTTAAATCTCATCTCTTTGATTTTGGTATCAAGATTAAATCAGTCTTTTGGGCGCCTGGGTGGCTCAGATGGTTAAGTGTCTGCCTTCAGCTCAGGTCATGATCTCAGGGTCCTGGGATCGAGTCCCGCATCGGGTTCCCTGCTCAGTGCAGAGCCTGCTTCTCCCTCTCCCTCTGCCACTCCCTCTGCTTGTGCTCTTCTGTCTATCTCTCTGTCAAATAAATAAATAAAATCTTTATTAAGATTAAATCAGTCTTTTACAATGAACTGAGAATGGTGAAGTGTGAGAATCTGATGATTGGATCTTTGAAAATGTGGAAGCACTTACTCATAAAATCATCTCTGATGGCTGTTTCATATGCAGGAGACATTTTTCAATAGTTACTAGGCTATTAGGACCTGTTGCTTCCTAAGCTATGTTTGGAAAGTTATTCTTCAAGAATTTGTCCACTTCATGACAGTGGACATCTTTGTCTTTCTCTCTGTCTGTCTCTGTTTCTCTGTATGTCTCTGTCTCTATTTCTCTCTCTATCTCTGTCTCTCTCCATCTCTGTCTCTATCTATGTCTCTCTCTCTCTCTCTGTCTCTCATCATATCAATCTCACCTAAGGTTTATATAATTTTTTAGTCATTTAGAATCCAACTTCTGACATTGTTGATCTGGTCTATTTTTTTTTTCATTATCATTTATCTACCATTATCCACTTCCTTTCCTTAGGTTTACTTTTATTTCTTTTAAGAACTTAGAGTTGGACATTTATCTCATTGATTTTCAGCATTTCTCCTTTCCTAATATAATCATCTAAAACAATAAATTTCCACTGAAGCTCCACTTTTGCTAATCCCACAAACATTTATATATAATATTTTCGCTTTCTTTAGTTTGAAGTGTTTTTAAAATTTCCATTATGATTTCTTCTTTGACCTATGACTTATTTTAAAATGTATGTTTTATATCTGAATATATGAAGGTTTGTTGATTGATTTATAATAACTTTTAATTGATCTGAAGTCAGAGAGTATAGTGTATACAGCCCTGTCTTTTCAATTTTGTTAAACCTTGACTTATGGACTAGTATAAAAATATTTTTTAATTAGGAAGATGTGTATTTTCTATTTGTCAAGAAAATCTAAAAAAATCAAGTATACAAAAGTAAGTTCTATATATGTGCAGTAGATGAAACTCGATATCTGTGCTGCTCAAAACTTCCATGTATTTGATGATTTTTTCTCTGCTTTATTTATCAACAGCTGATAAGATTGTATTGAAATATCCCTCTATGATCATGTTATTGAAAATTTCTCCCTTTACTTTTATCAAATATTTCTAATTTTATATTTTGAGGTGATTTCATTAAATACATTTACAGTTTCTATATCTTTATGGTAACTTGAAACTTTTATCATCAGGCAGCAAATGCCTTTTCTTAGCCTTTGACTAAGACAAATATAAAGACACCAGCAATTTTTTATGTGTGTATATGTATATTTAATATCTTTTTCTATTTTTTACTTTCAATTTTTCTGTGCTTATGTTTCAGCTCTATCTCCTACATGCAGCATCTTACCAAGTTTTAGATCTGATCTGACAGTTTTTATACTATCAAATGGCAAGTCCATTTATGCTTATTGTGATTATTGATACGTTTATATTTGTTCCTTCCATTTACCTTTTTTTCCTCCTTGATCTTTTTTTTTATTTTCACTATATGAAACTTTTTAAAGTTGTTTGACTGCATTTTTTCCCATTCTTTCTCCCTGTTGTTTTGAATCCATGCATTTAATTTTTGTTCCTTTTATCCATGAAATAGCAGCATTATATTTGTGAATAAATAAGTGAATAAATCTAAAACCATTTTGACCTCTCTCTCAAGGAAAACAAAATCATCACTCTTTAGCTTACATACTGTTACTGTCCAATATTTCGGTGCTATCTTTTTTTAACTTCCACTGTTCATTATTTCATGGAGACCTTTTTTGTTTGGACTCAGATGTTATGTTTGCCATATTGTGTTATTTGTTTACCATTTCTCTATGTATAACAAACCATCTTTCTGGGATCGTTTTTCTACTTTATAAAGTATGTTTTTTAGAGCAGGTCTGTAGATGATATAGTCTATCAGAGTTTTTTTCTACCTTATTTTTTGTTCCATAAGATGTCTTAATCCTTATCCTTGAAAGATTGTTTTGCTAGACTCAAACTGTAGCCTGACATCTATTTCCAGCCAATATTTTTAGGATATGATTCTACCATCTTCAGGCTTCTAGGGTTGCTGTTGAGAGGATCCTTTCATCCAAATTGTCTTTTGGTTTTATTTTTGCTTGTGATTTTTTATTTCTCTCTGGCTATTTTTAAAACGTTCAGCTTTGGCATTCTGCACTTTCACTACTATATGTCTAGGCATGGATATCTTTTTATTTGTTCTCCCTGAAATGCAATATACTCCCCAGATCTGTGGGTACATGATTTTCTTGAAATATTATAGTCATTACCTTTTAAAATCGGTTTCCTCTCCTTTCTCTCAATTATTATCCTTTGGACCTCAAAGTAGATATAGGTTTGACCTTCTCATTTTATCCTCCATGTCTTTTGATCCTTCTTTAATGATTTCCATCCCCTTATCTCTCATTGCAGCATTACAAATAAATTCTTCAGTTATGTCTTCCCATTCAGTAATTCCCTTTCAACAGTGTCTATCATAACATTTTACTTGTGTGTTAAATTTTTGCTCTCAGCAACTGTATTTTTCACTTCTTACTATTTTACTTTTTAAAAAATCTGTCTTTGCATTCCTGAAGGTTTCTTGTTGTATATTTATCTTTTTAATTGTATTCTTTATTTCCTTGCGTATTTAATACAGAACCATTGAGTATTCCCTACCTAACATTTCAACATCTGCAAATCTTCAGGGTATAAATGCGTTTGATGGTTGGTTATCTTTGTTGTGAGTTTACTGCTTCACTTCTGGGAGTCCAGTGAACTAAATTGGAGGAAGTTTTCCTTCGAAGAGAATCTCATCCTATTTCTATTAGTAGCCGGAAAGGAGACCATTTCTAATATCCTAGAAGGTTTGGAATCAGGGAGGGAAGCCACAGATTCAGTTTCTATCTCAATGCTATTCCAAGTTTCAGTATCTCTGCCATGCAACTATAAGACTCCTATCTCTGGGCAATTCCACCAGCTCACAGTGTGAAGTAGCTGGCCAGCTCCCTGCTACAGGCTTCCTGAATTTTTCTCCCCACGCTGTCCAGGATCTGACTCACTGCATCTGTGGATTATATTCCAAGCTGTCCCCACCCAGGCTGATAGCCATTCCAGGCCTACATCATGTTTTTATATTTCATGGTTTGTTTCTTTGAGGACTGGTTTCTGGAGTTCCTTCTATTTTTTAGAACCATTTATGATTCATAGAGATAAGCCATCTGAGTCTTGGCCGATGTTGAGTCAGAAAATCACTCAGAGATCCTAGTTAATCATGATAATGGAAGTGGGACCAAGGTAGCATTTGATATTAGTACCTTACATTCCAATCAAAATAAAGGCATATAAATTATCTCCTAATATGCCAGGTACATTGGTTGATGTAGTCAACAAATATTTATTAAGGATCTACAATGTGCTAGACACTGTTCTACACCCTTGAGATACATCAGTGAACAACACAAATCCCTGTCTTAATAGAACTTACATTCTAATATGAGAATAGGGTAGAATTATTATCATAAATGATAATCATAATAAATACATTATGTAGTATCTTATAATAAGTTATTAGAGCTTAAAAATTAGAAAAGAGAGAGCAGGTATGGAGACTGACAATGGCTTCAATTTTAAATAGAGTGGGCCTCACAGATAGGTAAGAAATGAGCAAAACGTTGAGGGAGATGAGAGGTAATAGGTTGTGAAGAACATTTCAAAGAGAAGAACCTGCTAGTGCAAAGGCCCAAAGATCAGAACATGTCTGATGTGTGCTCAGGAGAGTAAAGAGGTCAGAGTGGTTGGAGCAGAGCAAGCCAGGAGGAAGAGGGGTTAGAGGTGAGGCAGAGGTATAATTTGGCACCATATCATAGAAAGTTTTGTAGTCCTTTTACTCTGATTGAAATGGTGAGTCATTGCAGGGTTCTGAAGAGAGATGTTGAGCCCTCACGATGCAAACAATAAAGTGACAAGAAGTGGTATGACATTTTATAAAGCCTGTTGGAATAATCTAGGCAGGAGATAGTGAAGCTGGGTGGTATTTATGGAAATGATAAGAAGTGATCTGATTCTGGATATATTTTGAAGGTGGTATTTATATCCACTGCTCTGTTGAATTACCTAAAAACTTAGGGGCTGGAAACAACTACTATTTGATTAGCTCACAGTTTCTGAGGATCAGGAATCTTGGAGCAGCTTTGCTTGGTGGTTCTGGTGCAGGCCTCTCACAAAGTTGCCACCATCAAAGTTTGAGCAAGAGCGGTGAACATCTCCAGACCAACTTCCAAGCTCATACACATGGCTGTTAGTAGGCCTCCAAAGATTCCCTTCCAAGCTCATTCTCATGATGCTCCTGTTGTTTTTAACCTTCAATATTTCATTTATTCAAAACCAATTTTATTGCAACCAAAAGAGAGGCATTAACTGTACATAATACACACATATATATATATTAGATATAAATATATATTTTTAAGTTTAAGTTATAAATTTTTATGTATTATATGTATATACATTTTAAGTTTAAGTTATAGGAATAAAGTTTATTTTGGCAGATAGTGTTACAGAAAATTAAAGTTACATATATTAGTATATACATAACTCAACATCCTTAATTTGGTATAAGTGTGACACATTTTCTTGCTTTCCTGTGTTCTGCTAAATCATCATAACCCAAACTGCTTTATTATAAAACTCATATGCTGAAATTTGGCTTTATTGCTTTCACTTATGCTGATTCCAAACCAAAATTTTACAAGCTTCGCCTATCTCTGGGTGCATTTCATCATCACTATCATCCCAGTATGGATCACCAGCCTCTGATAAATCTGTACCATTTTCTTCATAATCTGGAAAGAAGTCCTCCCTTTCAAGTAACTGTTGATACTTCTCTCAGTAATCTGGATCAGCTGCAGTAAAAGGAACACCATCAGATGTATAAAATGTTGG